CTTCTAAGATCCATGACGTCTAATTAAATGGAACTGGAACAGAATAAGTAGCCTCCTATTAACAAATCTGCTTTTGATTTTCAGCTTATCCATGTAGGTTACTTCTACCAATCTTCTCATTTTGTCACTTTCTGTTCTTGTTAGGTGCTGGTGAGTCGTTTCCGACTCATAGTAACCCTTTGTACAACAGAACGAAACACCGCCCAGCCTTCCTCCTTCCAGTTGTTATGCTTGAGCCCGTTGTTGCAGCCGCTGTGTCAGTCTATCTCGTTGAGCGTCTTCCTCTTTTTTTCTGACCCTCTACCAAGCATGATGGCCTTCTCCAGGGACTTAGCCCTCCTGATAACATGTCTAAAGAATGTGAGACATAGTCTCGCCATCCTTGTTTCTAAGGAGCATTCTGGCTGTACTTCTTCCAAGACGGATGTGTTCGTTCTTTTGGCAGTCCCTGGTATATTTAGTATTGTTCTCCAGCACCACAATTCAAAGGTGTCAGTTGTTCTTTGGTCTTTCTTTTCATTGTCCAGCTTTCACATGCATAGGAGGCGATTGAAAACACCATGGCTTGGGTCAGCCGCACCTTAATCCAAAAGGTGACATCTTGGTTTTCAACACTTTAAAGAGGTCTTTTGTAGCAGATTTGCCCATTGCAATGTGTCTTTTGATTTCTTGACTGCTGCTTCCATGGGTGTTGATTGTGGAGCCAAGTAAAATGAAATCCTTGACAACTTCACTTCAATCTTTTCTCCATTTATCATAATGTTGTCTGTTTGGTCCAGTTGTGAGGATTTTTGTTTTATGTTGAGGCGTAATTCATACTGAAGGCTGTGGTCTTTGATCTTAATCAGTAAGTGCTTCAAGTCCTCTTCGTTTTCAGCAAGCAAGGTTGTGTCATCTGCATATTGCAGGTGGTTAATGAGTCCTCCATTCCTGATGCCCTGTTCTTTATATAGTTCAGCTTCTCGGATTATTTGCTCATTATACAGATTGAATAGATATGGTGAAAGAGTACAACCCAGATGCACATCTTTCCTGACTTCAAATCACACGGTATCCCCTTGCTCTGTTTGAATGGCCGCCTCTTGATCTATGTACTTAATTGCATATGAGCACAATTAAATGTTCTGGAATTCCCATTCTTTGCAATGTTATCTATAATTTATTATGATCTATGCAGTTGAATACCTTTGCGTAGTCAGTAAAACACAGGTAAACACCTTCCTGGTATTCTGTGCTTTCAGCCAGGATCCATCTGACATCAGCAATGATATCCCTGTTTCCACATCCTCTTCTAAATCCAGCTTGAATTGCTGGTAGTTCCTGTTGATACATTGCTGCAACCGCTTTTGAATGATCTTCAGCAAAATTTTACTTGTGTGTGATATTAATGATACTGTTCAGTAATTTGTTAATACAGTTGGATCACCTTTCTTGGAATAGGCATAAATATGGAACTCTTCCAGTTGGTTGGCCAAGTAGCTGTCTTCCAAGTTTCTTGGCATAGATGAGTGAGCACTTCCAGCACTGCATCCATTTGTTGAAACATCTCAATTGGTATTCCGTCAATTCTTGGAGCCTTGTTTTTTGCCAATGCCTTCAGTGCAGCTTGGACTTTTTCCTTCAGTAGCTTGGGTTCCTGATCATATGCTACCTTCTGAAATTTTTGAACGTCGACCCAGTTGTTTTTGGTATAGTGACTCAGTGTATTCCTTCCATCTGCTTTTGATGCTTCCTGCATCATTTAATATTTTCCCCATAGAATCCTTTTCTACCATTACTTAATTCAGATAACTGTAGTTAATGCCACATGACCTATATGATATGCTATTCCTCTAATAGCGGGAACTTTAAATTTGTGTGGCCAGTTCTATACTCAGGAAATATTACTATAAATTCTGCTGTAGAAAATGAATTCTAAAATCTCAACAATGAACTCCCAGTAAATGCAACACCTCTTACAAATCTTAAATTGTAATTCAATTTGGGTTTTTTTTTTTGTAATTAAAGTCTAAGTTTGGTAAATACATTTCCTGGGTTTTATGAACAGTACTCATATATTAGCATTTTTAATTTAGAACCTCAAAATTGCAAAGGATATGAGAAGTGTGTAACTTAATCTGACAACTGTCAGATTAATCCAAAATAATGAATTAGGAAAAAAGGGTTTAGTTCAAGTATATGAGATTATCCCCAATTTTTAAAAAACAAAAAACTCCACCCCATACCTTCAGATAATCCTATCTAAAACTTTAAAGAAAGTTACTTTCAAATATTAAATTTTTGTATGTTTATAAATAGTATTCTATAAAATGTACTCATAAGTTAAATAGCCTTTCAGATTTCAATATAAGTGGTTCCTGAATTACACATGATTTGTGTTTACAAGACTCTGCCTCCTTCACCATCTCATTTCACAACACAGACTTACACCCTTTCCCCCATTGAAAACTATTGTGGAACGATTTTTGAGAGTTGTTAAATGATTTGTGGATTCAGAAGAGAAAGGAGTGAAATACAAATAAGCAGAAACAATTTGGAGGAGTAAGCTCAGGAATTAAATATTCAGCAAGATGGGTGTGATAAATGTATATTTAACAGTCTCCTTCAAAAATTTAAATATGGGAAGTGTGTTCATATATCCAAGTGTGCACAAATATGTGCTTGATTCCCTCAACATGAACTAGATAGCAGTTGTATGGAGGGCATGGGGGCTGGCTAGGCGGTCTTCTCCCTCTAAAATAAAGGATAATAATGTATTCAGCAACATGATGGGGAAGGTCATTTTGAGATAGAGGTACAAAAAGATGAATATAAAAAATCTGTTTCACCCAATTTAAAATCATGGAATGAGAAAAGGGAAGGAAATTAAGAAACTTTTTCCACCTTCTCACCAATTGGGACCCTGCATCAGAATTCAGAACTTAATTTACTACTGTCAACTAAAAGACTTTTATAGGCAGCTAGAGAACCCAACCACCATTTAATACTTCCAATGGGGAAATATGTTCTAACTCAACAACCAATTTATAATCTAGATAAAGTTGAGTCCATAGGAGGCAGAAAGTATGAGGTCAAAAGTACTGGTAAAGGTGTTAAGTCTTATGAGGAAAGGAGAGAATATAGGAAAAGGGAAAATATTTCAGTTCCATTTTCATGTTTTCATTGTTTCTCTTTACACAATTACCAAAGCTGTACTTCTAGGCCTGACCTATCTTCTGTCTGCTAGCTCTGCGTTTCCACGTATGTGTCAGATTATCTTTCTCTGAAATTTCAATCCTCCAGAGTTCCTTAATTGCTAGTTTTACCCTCTTAATTGCTCAAGTTAAAAATCTTTTCTCACCCACCATTCATATGCTCAAATCTTAACAATTCTACCTCCAAAATATCCCCCAAATATTTCCATGCCTCCATATGCCCTCTGATGACGGCCTTTAGGACCTTTTCTCTTTTGAACTACTGAAATACCTCCTTAAAGTGGTCTTCCTGTCTCAGGCTTTCTCTTTCCAAACTGTTCTCTATATTCCCTCATTTTCTTTTTGAAAGAGGAATCTCATTCCCCTGGTCATAAATCTCTGATGGCTCTCCTATGCTTAGAGGATGTTGAAACTCTTCAGCATGACAAACTCCTTCATGTTCTAACCCCAGTGCAACGTTCAACCCATTGAATCTTCCTTCTTCCTTGCATCCTTGTCTTGAGCTACTGGACACTCCACGTCTTTTCACATCAGTCTTGCTTGCATTTTTCCCTTAGTTATTTTCCTCTTCATTGCCTGTCAAATACTATTCACTTTTAAGGCCCAGCTTAATGCTACTTCTAAGGTGTCAGATTCCCACTAGACAGTCCCTATTTACCAGAATTAGTCACAACCTTCTGGGAGAGACTATGATTTCACTTTGTTTTTACCTCTTCCAGCATTTGTTGTGGGATTGTTGAAGGGAGTGAAGCTTGTATTTTAGTTACGTTTGTCTTTCCCCCATACCCACCTATAGTTAACTTTTCAGCTCTGCCATGTTTCCTTGAATCTCCTGAACATACCTTACACACAGGCCTCATGCAATAAATTATAGACATGTTACTAAAATATTACACAAAAGAACTAAGAAAAGTCAGGAGGAGGAGGAATGGCTGAGGCAGTTTTATTACCCAAGAGGCAGGACCTGTAAGATACTAATATAAATTAATATCTGTAAGATAATTTGTTAGGATTTTTACAATCATATGCAAAATATTATTAAACCTGTGAATTGTATGTGTCATATTCTAGAATCATTTACTGTTAGACTTGGGAGAGATGTCAGAATTTATCTAAGCCAACCCATTAGTATTAATATTTACAACACATTATTAAAAAAGTTAAATTTAGTGACTAAAAATTGGGAGAATTTTCAAAATATGGTTTGAACTTCTAAAATGCGTTTTCCCAGCTGTTTGTGAGAAGGGTATTTGCTTCTGTGTGAGCAGGAATGGCAAACAAAATGCCAACATCAAATAGAAGTTCCTTTGCATCTTCCAACCCCTTCCCTTACTGCTTAGACCTGATTCCTTAAATGTACCCACTTGAAATTCATCTGTACTTATTAACTACCTCTTGGTCTTCTTAACCTCAAAATAGGTCCACTTTTTTTTTTTGCAATCTCAAACCATTTATTTAATCATGGTTCTCTCTCCAGCACTGCTTCTAGAATAACCAGGAATAGGGAGGGATGGGTGATTCTGAGCTAGGACAACCTGCACACTTTTTCCCAGACATCAAAATGATTTTGAGAACATGCTGGGAGGCAGGCAGGGGCAGGGTGGCATTAGAGGAATCTTTCCAATCCACAAAGCCACAGCATCTCACAATCCTAGTTCCTTCCCTGTCTGGGTAGCTGCCAGCTGTGTCCTCTCCAGGTCTCTTCTGGAAGATGGTGTTGAGGGGCAGAAGCAATGAGATGAGGCCTTTGTTTTGTTCCTCCCGACATTACAGTTTAAATTAGGACTTTTCAACAAAAAGCAGGCAAGGACAAAAGCCAAGTACTTTTTTTTTTTGAGGTAGTGTGAAATCACCTATTAGGCAAAAGAAACAGATGTGTTTTTCCCTGTGTATCATGACTGGATCCCATTCAAGTCCTACATTACATGGATACTAGCTTTATGTTAAAGTATTGGGAAGGAAAAGGTCGAGGGTGATTACATAGTTGTTAGCTGCCAGTGAGTCCATTCCAACTCATGGCAGCCGTGTGTGTGCACGGTAGAATTGCTCCATCGGGTTTTCAAGGCTGTGATCCTTTCGAAGCAGATCACCAGGCCTGTATTTCTGAGGTGCCTCTGGGTGGGTTCAAACTACCACCGTTTTGCTAGTAGTAGAGTGCTGTTTGTGTCACCCAGGGCCTCCAAGGCTGCATATGCAAGATAGTACATCTAGTATTACTTATCAAGATTTTATGATGTCTGTGTAACACGCTGGAGCCTTGGTGGTGCAGTGGTTAAAGCACTCAGCTGCCAACCAAAGGGTCAGGGGCTTGAACCCACCAGCCATTTCTTGGAAACCTTACACAGCAGTTCTCTGTTCTCTAGCATCGCTAGGAGTCAGAATCGACTTATCAGCACTGGGTTTGGTTTTGATTTTTTATGTTTAACACCTTATAATAGCAGTTTGTCAACAGTTACTCTAAATTAAGGTATGGATACCACCACCCACCTTTGAACAGCCAGAAAGTTGTGTCTTGCCCTCCCCCCCACTATGAACCAAAAAGAATTAAGACCCTTTTGTTATGAACTGTTCCCAAAAATGATGTTTAATTCCTAACTCTTGTACCTGGGAATTCAACCTTTTTGGAAATACGGTTTTCCCTTTGTTATTAAACAAGGTCATACTAGGATAGCAGGGATCCTAATTCTCATCCCTTCTTAAGTGTTTTATAAAAAGCGAGAAAAATATAGATATGGAAAGTCACACACACACAGGGAAGATGCAGTGTCCATGGCGGCAGATACATTTATAATCATAAAAGCCACCAAAAACTTAGGAGAGGCATGAACAGTTCTTTCAAAGCCCTCAGAAGGAACTGACATGGCCAATGCCCTGATTGAGACTTCTAGCCTCCAAAACAAGTTTGTTCTTTAGAGCCTACCCATTTTGTAGTATTTTGTTATGGCAGCCCTAGAAAACGAAAACACCTGTTTTTCTTGGGAGGATGGTAACACCTTTGAGAATCACGTATACACTGTCTTAACATTTTCCTTTTCACATGTCTACATAATGCCCAATTACTAGAAAACCTTTTTGTTATTGGAATGAATTTTAGCTTTGTGTAATTAAGAACTATACAGGGAAAGTTATATTTCAGAATTTGGAGTAGACTTTACATATATACTGTTGATTAGAATAACGAAGTCTGAATCTTAAAGTAAAAAATACATAAATGGCCATATTCATCTTCAGGCAAGCTTCAGAATCCAAAATCCTCATCTCCTGTTTTAACATCAACTATGCTTGCTTTAAAGGAGCCCTAGTGGTGCAGTGGTTGAAGCACTTAGCTGCTAACCAAAAAGGCCAGTGGTTCGAAAGCCACTAGCCACTCCAAGAGAGAAAAATTTGGCACTCTGCTTCTCTAAGGACAGCCTTCGAAACCCTACTGAGCAGTTCTGCTAGTCCTACAGGGTCACTATGAGTCAGCTAACTCGACAGCAGTGGGTTTGGTTATGGTTACTTTTGTTCAAGTACCACCATTCAAGATCAATATAAATTTAGTAAACCAAGTGTTTTCATTGAAAAATGTGTAAGCTTAATGGTACTTTATAGAATTACAGTTCATATATAAAAATATATTCTAAGTTACAAGCTCATTAACTCTTTTATCTACAATCATTTGCACTGTAAGATGGGAATTCCTGTCCTAGGAGATGGTGATGGTGGTGAAGTTATATGACCCTTTAGGAAGGATGGACAATTGTACACAGTCAAGACATTCACAGCCAATTAAAATGGAAAGTTAATCCAATTACACAATACCACCTCCTGCTCACACATTCCAACATGAAAAGCAGCCACACACAAAAAGTCAAGACTAGTTTAAAAGGGGGGGACCAAATTATTATTTTAAAATTTGATTACAACCGATTTTGTTGGAATTAGAGGTATTCTAAATTTGAATAGTGAACATAAATAAACAAAGTTTGGTAAAAATGGTAACAGTTTTCCAGTCATTGCAGATTAGAAGGCAGAAATCAATTTAGAGAACAGACAAACCCCATGTTTATGATTGTGCCACAAATTTAAAATTTCAGTAGTGCATTAGTAAACTCTTCACATTTAGATCTTCACTTTGAGATTAGACAGCTGTTTCTTGAAAAAAATCTCAGTACCTTGTGCAAATAAAATGGTCTTCTGCGTGCCTTAGCACACACTTAAAAATTTCTCCATTTTATATATACAAAACATCTACCCATTTGGGCAGGGCAAAATACATACTTTCATAACAAAACTATAATATGTACCTCTCAAGTATGAACAATATACACATAATACATGGTATACAGTATTTACAAAGTATAAAATATAATACAAGCTGTAATTTTTTAAACTCATCTTTTGCACTTGTACCAAGGCAAATTTCCATTTCTGTACCGATTTTCTTTTTAAGTATCCAGAGATTTTGGAGAAACTATGTTTTACATACATACTCAAATCTAACCTTTAAGTTTGAACTTTTAGGAGAGTTTTTAAGTGTACTGCCATCAACTCCCTATTTTGGTTGGAATTTTCAACAGTGCTTCCCATCCAGTGACTAGGCGGCTTTGGAAGAACACTAGGTGATGGTGGATCACTAAACTTTGCTCCCGCGTAATTTTCCTTTTGGCTCACTTCAGTTAGAAATGCTGATTTCTTCAAATGCATATTTTTAATGTTCTCAGTATTTTTAAAAGGCTTTTTCTCCTGCTTCTGAGTTTTATCAGACGAAACAGAATCCTGCCAAAAGTTATTTTCGTTTCTTTTTGCAGAGGTGATCTTGGTTAGTGGCAAGTTATATTTGTTTTTCTGTCTGTTTATCTTTGGTTCATACAAGTGTATACCATGAACAAGCTGGCCATGGGGAATGGCAATTTTCTCCGATTTTCCCATCTTTGATTTTAAAACCTATAAAAACAAGGAACATAAAAGTAAATACAGTCTCAAGAATTCATCAAGTCATGAACCTTATACTATGTTTTGTTTTAAAAAGTTCTTTTAGACTTCAGTTCACTGTCTTCATTAAATACTTTTTTGCTTGCTGCATGTATCAGTGGATGCCCAAATATATGCATACCTCTCATTTTGTTTAGCACTAAGAAAGAGTTATAATTTCCACTGTTACCGGTATGCAGGAGCCAGTTCTAACATATCTAACTACAAAACCCAAAGTAACTCCAAACCTATCTTTTTATAACTGTAAGGAGTCTAATGCTCTTTCTTCTAAATATGTGTGCCAACCTCCTTCTGACCAAGGTCAGTGTTTTTGAACAGAATAGTGCCAAAGGAAATTTTCAAATACTTTCATTTTGGTTGTTTGAGAGTCTGGTTAAATATTTTAAAAGTGTGTTAATAAATATGCTGTTTATTTTATAGGGAGGTACTTTTAAAATCATTTCAGAGCAAACTAAAATTTGATTAGCAAGACGTAGATTTTAACTGAGGAAGTGTTTTGATAATGGTTACCAGGTGTACACACACACAAAAATAGCTTCCAGTTTCTGGAAAAATATTTCAGAAAGTTAAATATTAAAATATTAATTTATCACCCTTTCCAGTTGTACACACTTACATAACCAGGAAACAAGTGCTTCCTGCCTGTCTCCTACTTTCTACTTTAACAAATGCTTCATGAACTTTGCTGCTCTATCACTTTCCTAACTGATGTGGTCCTTACGAGAAGCCACGATCGGATGGGAAAGTTAATCAATCGATCAGATCACTGCCTTTCCACCAACATTTGTAATATGGTAGGGAAGGAGGACTTAAAATATAAACCCCGAGTACAAGGCAGCATATTCCATGTCCAAAAAACAAAAACAAACAAAAAAACCCTTTGCCATATGAGTCGATTCCGACCCATAGCAACCCTATAAAACAGAGTAGAACTGCCTCATAGGGTTTCCAAGGAGCGCCTGGTGGATTCGAACTGCCAATCTTTTGGTTAGCAGCCAAACTCTTAACCGCTACGCCACGAGGGTTTCCATGTCAAGTAAGGTCAACTGCAAATAGAGCACCCTGGTTTTAGTACCTGTTCTAGAAAACAAAGGGCTCTTACAAATTAGGAAACAAACAGAAAAGCTCGCTTTTAAACTATCACTAATTTCAAAAGAACTATGAGATTTTAAGAACTCCAAAGAAATCTAAAATAAGAAACCATTACGGGCATATTTAGTATTTATGTCTACTACATAAGCCCAACACATGCCAGTAATTTTTATCATCAAAGATGAAACCAAAAGTCAGTAAAAAGTTTTGACAAAGGTTAATTTCAAAAATTTTCCCGATTTAACCTCATTTAAACTTTAATGTTACTCTAGTCCAACAGCATGGCAACTGGGCGGCATAACTGCAACTCAATTGATAACTTTCCCTTCGAAAACTTCACTATTCTAGACACAAGTAATAAAACTACCTACACCCTTAAGAAAGTCCGGTACAGGACACAGTAGGAATGATTAAACAATAAACTTTATCTCATAAAAGCTAGAACAAAATATTGCTTCACACTTACCGCTTCAAACAGACAAAAACATTAGCTAACTCCGCCGCCGCTCATACGAACTTTGAAACTTAAAAGCACGGCTAAGTAGGTCGGACCCACAAGCAGCAGAGTCCCAGGGGGACTGGGCGCCCCCACACGGGGCATCTCACATCTGAGCCGCTTGCAGCCTACTCCAAATCCCACACTAGGGCGGTAGGAGATAGCCAAGGCGCTTCACCGACCAGTCTCGAAGTACTAACGGTTGGGAAACCCAAAGCGGGCCCCTCGCCCCTTCCCTACCACCCCGCCCCGGCCTCGCCTCTTTCATGAGCGCCAGAGCGCTCCGCACGTAGCGCGCGATGACGTCATCCCCCGCGGGCTCCCGCCTTCCCCCACCCCACCGCGCGCCCAGAACGCCGAAACCCCCTGGAACGCAGCCAGCCTTCTAAAATCAGGGCTGTTGCTGGGGCGCAGCCACTCCTCTCATTGGCTGGTTTCCGGGAGCCAATCAGCAGCGCCAGCGCATGCCGCCCCCTCCCCCTCTTCCCCCCAGCAAGAACTGAGCGGGCGTCACGGAAACTTCCCTCCGAGTAAACAGCCGTCCATCACCCCGCCCCCACCCTCCAAAGCCTCAGTGCAGGGCCCCAACTCGAGACTGAGCTGTGACCGTCTGAGGGCCGAACTCTGCTACAGCTCCCATGTCCCCTTCGCAGCCCTGACCTCTTTCCTGAGCGAGGGTTGACCGGGAACCGCGGGCGGCAGAGGGCCAAGGACTGGACTCGTTTCCTCAGTTCGAGTCGCGGCCGCAGGGGCCGGGGCCGCGGCGGCAGCCTGGCCCGGGACCTCATGCGCTCCGCTCTGGCTGGTCGCAGGGCTCCGACCGCCCTCCAGACTCGGCCGGTGCTGCTGGTACTGGTGGAAGCGGCTGGGAAGCTGCCCCGCCGGGCTGGCCCGCACCTTCTTCTTTCGCCGCTTCTTTGGCGCTGCCCGAGGAGTGCCCCCCGCCGTGGCAAAGCTGCAGTTGGTCAGAGGAGCTGTAGCGCGACGCTGAGGAGTCAGACAGGGACCATCTCCCCCGAGGAAGTGAGGGAAGAAGAGGGTCGGGGGCAATGCCCTGGGGTCCGGGATCCGGGGTAAAGGCGGCGGCGCCGTGGTCACCATCGGCAGGGCCCCGAAGTAACCACGGGCGGAAAAGCCCAGCGGTGCAAGGCGGCCGCCCAGGACAAGCGGCTCCCGCTGCGGGACAGAGACGACGGTCATAGCGCTGGGAAGGACGTGGCTCAGGAGGAAGAGGAGGAAGTGAAGCCAGTGATCACAGGGTGGCGGCGGCTGCTACTGCTAAGAGAGCCCAAGAGGAGACAAGAGCATGGCTCGGGCGGTGGCCGCGCAGCAACAAATAGCGCAGGCCCCCGCTCCGAGTGTTGTTATCGGAAGCTCCGCCCTCCGCCCGCCCACCTCCCTGAGCAAGCCCAATCAGAATGCTACAGGGCAGGCCACGCTCCCGGCTCCGCCTCCACCGCTTCGGAGAGACACACACAACCAGCTTGCTGCAGCCGGGCACAAAGGGCGTGCACTGCGCAGGCGCTGCCTACGGGCTCTTTCGGGGAGAGTCAGGCCCTCGAACAATGAAGTTCCCGTTCCGCCCCTTTTCATCCCACCCTCCCAGCTTGCCCGCTCACCTAGCTCATCTAGTCGGTAGATCTAGACTGCATTTGGTGATGGGATGGCGGGAGGGGAGAAGCAATCAGGAGTATCGATGCCTCTCGGCCACTGACCTTGGGGAAGTATCTGTTTTATTTCAAGCCCAACGCAATAGCTTTATTATCATTTTAAACAAGATTTGGAAGTACACTATAAGAATTTCTTCCCTAGAAATCGCGAGGAAAATGAATCTATAAATTAATTCGGTGAAGTGTGGCTCACGTTTTTTTTTTCATTCACTCGGTCGGCAGCGCTGCACATTAGCCCTGGTAGTCAGAGAAAGGATTAAGGAAGTGACTTCCTGATTGAAACTGCATTGAAAATATATAAAAAATTTTCCATAAATCCGTAAAAGAGCACTGGAGTTTTTATTGTCTTCGTATTTGAAGGACTGTGAGACTTTGAGATCGCAGCACTGAGCCAGATACTGAGAAGGCTTGCATCTCAAAGGGATAAAGAGTGAAACAGCTCTGCTATGTAACTGTTTTGTTAGCAATGTGTTGATAGACATTTCACCCTCAACGATCTCCCTGCACTGTGCTCACACACAAAAAGCACTTATATTACAGGCACTGTTGTATATGTAAATTATCTCGTTTGAACCTCAGTGAGAAAAGTATCCTGATTTTATAGGAGAAGTTAAGGAACTTGTCAAAGATCATACAGTAACTCAGCAGCATTTGAACTCGAGTCCAGGCCTGGCAAGACAGAAGTTTTAACATCACTCATACTATCTGCCACACACTGCAGCTTTTTAGAAGACTGTGATAATCTTACACTTCTTTTTCCTCACAGCTTCTAATCAGTGTTTTTCAGCTTTGTAGTGGTAAGCAATTAGTGCTTGATAAATATTTTATGATTGATGGCAAAGTTGGATACAGGGAACATGGAGAGGAGGAGAAAATATCCAGAATAATACTTTCCAATAGCGTTATATAATAAACATAATTTAATACTACATTGCATCAATGCTAGATTTTATCATTTTTGCTGGATTTTATTCATTTTTGTGTCTCTAACACCTCATACATAGTAAGTATTCGTGTTCGTTGAATGAATGGTAATCAAATACTTCCAGAGCTGCAAAAGATCTTAGCCTGTAATTCAAATCCTCATGTCTTTGAACAGAAGTTGGGTTCAACGGCCTGGTTAGAGGTGGTGGAGAAGAGATGGCAGAGACTGTGGAATCTCTGGAGTGGAGGTAATTTCTTTTGTTTTTGAAGTCTCCACTTTTTCAAAGCCCTTTCCCATTTGTTGTCTCACTTTATTACTCTAACTCTTTAAGGTAGAGAGAGACAAGTACTATTTTATATTTGATGTAAATAAAGCTTCTGAAGCTCAAGTAACTTGACCAGAGGTCACACAAGGAGTCAGGAACAAAATCACTTGATTTGATGCCTAGTCCAGTGCTCTTTTCACTGTATCCCTAGGCCTCGGGCTTGTCTTCATCTGGGGTTATTATCACACTGTCCTGGAGAATAATTTATCCTTCAGGGGACTAATAATTGGTAGCTAGTTCAGTGGGGCCCTTGATCAAGGGCGCCTATTACTGTCTGTGTCTCTTGGGTGAATGTTTGAGTTATTGCGTGATATGTAATTTATCCTTTGGAAGCCTGTAGTGTAGGCCTCATGTTAGACCCTGGAATCTGTACTTTAAGAAAGGTAGCTTTGCAGCTGTGGCCACCTGGGTAATGGGTGCAAAGATGGTGCTTGCCATCACTAAGAAACAGATTGGGAGGTAGAATGGACCACCAGAAGAAAGCAATCCAGGTTTTATAAACCAGATTATTGGATTTCATGTTAATCCTTGTGTGTAGTCCCTATAGAACCTTAGTCTTTAGTAGTCTAATTTTAATGTTCAAGCCTGGCCTCAGCTGTGCTATTGAAAAGGTCAGATGCTCTTTGCTTGGGCCCAGTGGGCCTGAATATAGCAAGACATTCCAAGGGTAAAGTAAATCTTGGAGGGACTCTTAGGGCTCTTGAAGATTTTTGATCCAGGGCAGGTCTTGATTTTATTTTCGTTAAAGCAAAAATTTCTTTAGAGGAGTTTTTTTTTTTAAAAATAAAGGATTGAAAAGTAAACCAGGTTTTAAAGAGCAGGGAAAAGAGGTTTTGCCCATGTGTGGGGAAAAAAGCAGTTTACCTGCATTAACACTTCAGAACCCTCAGAATTTCTCTTTCCTTTCTTCTATCTTTGTGAGAGACACTTCTGTTCTCTTTCCCTCTCTTTACCTAAGATACCATCTTTCTCTCTTCCGCCTTTAAGTGTCTTTTTTTTTTTTTGTCTCCTCACTCTGACTGGATTTCCATTGCCTCTACCTATTGTTGCTTGGATCTTTAGTGCCTAAGGGACTGTTATAGATTGAATTGTGTCCCTTCAAAATATGTGTTGTAAATCCTAATCCCTATACTTGTGAAGGAGCCCTTGGTGGCACAGTGGTTAAGCGTTCAGCTGCTAACCAAAAGGTTGGTAATTTGAATCCACTAGCCGCTCCTTGGAAACCCTGTGGGGCAGTTCTGCTCTGTCCCATGAGTTGGAATCGACTCAAAGGCAATGGGTTTTTTTTGATACTTGTAGAAGTAATCCTGTTTGGGAATAGAGTTTTCTTAATTATGTTAATGAGGCCATGTCAGTGTAGGGTATATTTTAAGCCCATCACTTTTGGGATTTAAAATGAGGAGATTATGCACAGAGAAGCTAGCAGATATGTGGGAAGATAGATGCCACGCCCCATGAAAATCACCAAGGAACCAAGGAACAGAAGCTGAAAGAGCCGAGGACCTTCCCCCAGAGGCTAAAGAGAAAGCCTTCCCCTAGAGCCAGCGCCCTGAATTCAGACTTCTATCCCCCTAAACTGTGAGGATATAAATTTCTGTTGGTTAAAGCCACTGACTTATATTTCTGTTATAGCAGCACTAGACAAGACAGGGACACCTGTGTGAGAAGAGGAACACTCACCCCAATTTATACTTTGTTTAGTGCTCAAATTATTAATCTTTCAAATCTATGAAGTAATATTCCTCTAAACATTGAACACAACCAGGAAATCATATGTTTACATTTAACAAAAAACACTTAATTGTGCTCATGTGGAACCTGTACATAGACCAAGAGGCAATCATTCAAACAGAACAAGGGGATACGGAGTGTTTAAAATCAGCAGAAGGGTGCGTCAGGGTTGTATCCTTTCACTATATTTATTCACTCTGTATCCTGAGCAAATAATCTGAGAAGCTGGACTATTTGAAAAACACAGCATCACAACTGGAGGAAGAATTATTAACAACCTGCTGTATGCAGATGACACAACCTTGCTTGCTGAAAGTGAAGAGGACTTGAAGCACTTACTGATGAAGATCAAAGACGACAGCTTTCAGTATGGATTATACCTCAACATAAAGAAAACAAAAATCCTCACAGCTGGACCAGTAAGCAACATCATGATAAACGGAGAAAAGACTGAAGTTGTGAAGGATTTCATTTTACTTGGATCCACACTCAACGCCCAAGGAAACAGCAGTCAAGAAATCAAATGACGTATTGCTTTGGGAGGATCTGCTGTAAAAGAACTCTTTAAAATGTTAAAAAGCAAAGATGTCACTTTGAGGACTAAGGTGCACCTGACACAAGCCATGGTATTTTCAGTCGCATCATATGAATGCAAAAGCTGGACAATGACTAAGGAAGACCAAAGAAGAATTGACGCCTTTGAAATGCGGTGTTGGCGAAGAATATTGAAAATACCATGGACTGCCAGAAGAACAAACAAATTTGTCTTGGAAGAAGTACAACCAGAATGCTCCTTAGAAGGGAGAATGGCGACACTTCATCGTACGTACTTTGGACATGTTATCAGGAGGGACCAGTCCTTGGAGAAGGACTTCATGCTTGGCAAAGTAGAGGGACAGCAAAAAAGAGGAGGACCCTCAATGAGATAGATTGATACAGTGGCTGCAACAATGGGACCAAACACAGCAAGGATTGTGAGGATGGCACAGGACGGGGCAGTGTTTTTTTCTGTTATATGTAGGGTTGCTATGAGTCAGAACCAACTTGATAGCACCTAACAACAACAACAACATTTAACAAATAAAATTTCCCCCAACAGTTAAGTTTTGGTCACAAACCTTATTTTGTCAACCAATTCTGAAAAGTTTAATTAAAATTACAAAGTTTATATTAAAAAACAAAGTATGCCAGATTTTCACAAGAATGACAAAACTTATACTGATACTTAAATTGCTTGTAAAAGTATTACTGTCATAGATCTAAAGTAATTTATTTTTATACTTATACCTTCCTGGAGTTATAGTAATTTTACCACAGGCTTATTTCTTATACCTTCTTGAGGGGTCCAGTAGGACCTATGCAGGTTGAGCTTTGCACAAGTGGTGGCGGAAGTGATAAGGAGGAGATGAAATACAGTGGGAACTGTATTCTGTTCCTGATGCCATCTTCCAGGGTCTGGGGCCATCTGGAGGAAGAAGTACCTTTTTCTTATTGATATAAAGGCATCAAAAAAAAAAAAAAAAAAAAAACCCTAGTGACAGCCCAGGTAAAATAATAGTATGGATACTTAATTCTATTTCATCCTAGCTATAAAACCAAAAGAAAAAGCATATCATTTAGACCAACTGATGTTTGAACCAATTGAGTCTTAGCTGGGTGTCTTAGGCTGGGTTCTCCAGAGAAGCGAAACCAGTAAAGGGTATAAATATATATGGAGAGATTTATATCAAGGGAACAGCTCACGCAGTTGTAGAGGCTAGAATGTCCCAAGTCTGTGGATCAGGGTAGAGGCCTCTCCCAAGTCACGCAGC